TTTCTCAGTCATCCAGGTCATAGTTGTCTCAAAGGCAATTGTTGTTTCAAAAGGCAATTGGACATTTGTTTTCCGCTTGAGGAAGAAAAAGACATTTTGCTTCTCATCCAAGAAGTTTCATCGGTTCTGGAAGGATGGTAGGGGTGATGGAAGGAATTAGTCTTCTTCTTCCTCAAGAAGAAGAAAAAAAGCCCAATTGCCTTTTGAAAAGCACCTTTGAGACATTCTTCAAAACACATTAAAAACAATAAATATTTTATAGCATAATAAAGACACTTCTATGGGACATCCTTAGATGCCCAGTTCCTATGGTTTGTGAAATGTTAATTTTAACAGGGAGATTTTATGCCTACTTAGAGAATCTCCCATACCCAATTCTCAGATTTGGCAAAGATCTCCCTCCCTTGTGTTATCCCTCAAAAAGGTTCTCTTAGCTATTTCCTTTTGGATGAGAAACATAGATTAATACATTTCAATAAGCATTTTGTACATTACTATCAGGCTTCATACAATGGCATTTGTCCCCTTATTCAGCATTTGATTCTACTCAGCAAGAAGACTCTCAGAGAGATCTTAGTGAGATTTAAATGTTTATTATAGAGAAGAATGAACCCTTAAACGGAGTAATTGATTCCCCATGCCAGTGCAAAGAAGTCATATTTTAGCTATCTGTCATCTATTTATCTGTCATCCATCCATCCATCCATCTTATCATCTATGCTCCAGAATTAAATCTGATTTTTTCCTCCCATCCTTCTCTTGATTTTCTTGGGAAGGAGGTAAAATATATTTATATAATAGTTAGCCAGGGAACCACTGGATGCAGTTTTACCATTCTCGTACCTTATAGTTACCCATTCTAAGTAGCTAGTTATGCTTATTAATTCTTCAGACTTTTAGTGCTTTCATTCCAGTATTGTCTCCTATTTAAATTTGTTTTAATTCAGTGGAAATTGCTTCTAAGTGAATACGTTAATTCTAAGATGATTTAATTTGGATTCTTTCCTTCTAAAATTGTTACTGGTGTTATCAATGTCTTATTTTGTTATAGCCTGGTGTGAGTATTTTTTAGAGATATGGCTATAAATTATGCAAACAAATAATATGCACATTTATAAGGCTGCAAATAACTGTTAAATACAACAAGTAACAATATTAAGACTGGCTTTCTATATGTAATATGGAGGTTTCTTACTCTTTCCATGACACAGTATAGATATGGTTCCCTCCTGCAGATTTCAGTTACACTGGTCAAACTCCTCCCTTAGGTTATAGGAGTTTCAAAAACATTAATAGAAATATAATAGTTTGATGTAGTGATTAAGGCGCAAGGTTAGAAACCAGGAGACTGTGACTTCTTGTCCCACCTTAGATGCAAAACTTTAGGTGCAGATTCATTCTAAAATATTCACTTCATATATTTGTACATGTAGTCCTCTACTTACAATTACAATGGAGTCCAAAATTTCTGTTGCTAAGTGACACAGTTGTTAAGTGAGTTTCCCCCTGTTTTATTACCTTTCTTCCATAGTTGTTAAATGAATCTCTGCAGTTATTAAATTAGTAACACTGTTGTTAATTGAATCTGGCTTCACCATTTACTTTACTGGTCAGAGGGTCACAGAAGAGGATCTTGCAACACATGATATGAACCAGTTGTCTAGCATCTGAATTTTGATCATGTGATCATGAAGATACTGGTTGTAAGTGCAAAAAATGGTCATGTTATTTTTTTTCAGTGGTGTTGTAACTTCAAACATCACTAAACAAACTGTTGTAAGTCAAGGATTGTCTGTATCATATTCCCTAATATTTGAATAATATAAAGCATCATGAGCCTTTCCCAACCCATTGCTAGACCTCAGCCCTTATCATTCCTAGCCAGCACACCTTTAAGTATTAAGAATTTAAATCCCACACACCATAAAGCCACTAGGTTAGCGAAGACTATTAAATGTTGTAGACAAGATTATTAAAAATATTACAATGTTACCTTTGCGGAAAAGTGCTTTCCCTACTTTTCCATAGGTTCCTGCGTTATTTTTCATGTTTTCAAAACTTGTTTTCTTTACAATGCTCTCAATCTCCTCTTCAGTTACAGAAAAATTAAAGAATTTGGCTATTTTTTTCAGTGCTGAGACTGGATTCTGAATAATACATCAATATATAACATAAGTGAGTAATGCTTTCAACTGCTTCAATTCATGTCTTGATCTGGGTACTATACATTTTTTATATATTTATAGGCTGGGCTTGTGCACATTAGAATAAATAAAGAAATAAGCAAAACAAAACATTGTTTCATTGTTTCATTGAAATATTAGCAAGAGTAGATCGGGTGATCCAGAAGTTGACCTTAAAATGAAAATATATATAGTATTGGCCAGACATAATTTTATTATCAAATTAAATCTAAAAGTTTACTCTTAAAAACGTACCTCTTTTATTTCCTCATAGGTAATAAAAAATACATTGCTGTCCTCCAGATAGTTGTTCCATTCAGTAATATGATCAAAATAAGATCCATAGGCCACTGGTAGGAATTAAGCAGAACATTTTGATATTGATTTCAGTGTGAACTCTCACTGTATCCTTTCTATTTCACTTTTTCTCTGATTATTAACAGATGCAGATTACCATACATAATTTAAATCATTGATCACCATTATTATTATTATTTCATTGTTCGGTTGCTCAGCTAACAGGAGAATCTATAGGGGAATCCAAAACTTATGGCCCCTCAGCAAAACTCCCGCTGTTTCCTTTTTTTACACATACCACACATTTTTTTAAAGGTGCAGGGTTTGATTGTATAGTCATGGCCATCATATTGACATTTTTGGCAGCTCCCTCTCCACTGAAGCCTCTGCTTGTTAATCATGTGTGTTTATTAGATTGCCTTAATTATTCACCAAAACTGGTGTTTGCTTTGTCATTCATTCACAGTGTATAATTCCAATTTTTGTTTATGGGGTACCACTCAAACCATATGTCATTTCAAACATAGTCAAGCACACACAGAGGCATTGGCAAGATACAACCTTCTCATCAAAATGAGGAAAACACCAATGTGCTATCATGCCACTGTGATGCTTTGGTCATTTGTCCCCATGCCCTCTTTTGATACCACCTGTAGATACTTCTGGTCAGACCTGTCCCAGAATTATCATTGTCCTTACTCATTAAAGTAAATATATTTGGTCACTTTCCTCCCACTAAACTGAAAAGTTAAGTTTAAAACCGATGTAATAGTTTTCATTGTGTCATTAACAATACTATTAGAACTGCATCCTGATTTAACAGCCAATAACATTAAATGGCAATTAAGCACATAAATGTGTACAAGAGAGAATTAATATCTATGGAGATTCTGTCTTCCAAGTCATGGTTGTGTCAAAAGTGCTTTTTCAAAAGGCAACTGGACTATGTTATTTTTCCTTTCTTGAGGAAGATATTTTGCTTCTCACCCAAGAAGCTTCTTCAGTTCTGACTGGATGGTAAATGGATTACTTTTACTTTTCAAAGAATTACTTTTCAAAGGAGTTCACAAATGACTCCAGAATGGAAATGAATGTTTTTGCAAAGGGTAAGGGATGCAAGAATATTTCTCTTTGTAGCCTGTATTAGACATGTATACAGAAAACACAAATCAAGTCAATGTTACTTACTGGCCAAATTCACACAACATACTATACTAGGCTAAAACGAGGTTGGGTAATTTGTAGTTCAGTACTATAGGAAACGCTGCCATTGTCTCAGCATGTTGAGTGAGATTTGTCATCCCATTACAACATAATGGTTTATGGGAATGGTATACAAATGGTATACAAATACTAGGCTAATGTGCAGTTAATCTAGGTTTATGTCTGTGAGATGAACTTTAGAGAATGAAATGAAACATGGAATTATTGTTGCTTTTTACTGAAGCAATGCAAATAAGTTTCAGTGCCCGAAGACAAACATAGAAAGGAACCCTTTGTTCAAAGAGATCTTGCTTCTCCTTCACAGACAGATGGAGACCGAAAGATAAATAGAATAAGACCACTTATTTCAACCATGTATATATCTTCCAATGAATAAGAAAAAAAGAACACCTTTTCCAGTGATAAAATCTTCAAAGAACTCATCCCAGGTTTCCTGGTCAGAACTCATTTTTATGCCTTTGGCAAAATGGAAGAAAGATACAGCTGTGTCCTTTGGGTTCCGAAACAAAACCAGCATCTTTAAAACAAAAAAGAATATATTGGCATGTAAATTTAAAATCTAGAAGAGCAGAGCCAGAAGAGTAAAAACATTCCATTTTTAAAAATCCAAGTATGAACATTCAAACATATTTGGAAATGAACTGAATGGGGATTAGAGATAAAATTATCAAATTAAGAGAACAGTAATTTTTTAAAAAATAAAGTTCCTTTCCAAGACAGAATAGCAGAATAACACAGTTGGAAGGGAACTTAAAGGTCTTCTATTCCAGTCCCCTGCTCATGCAGGAGACCCCGTATCCTTCTGAACAAATGGTTGTCCAATCTCTTCTATTTCCATTTCCCAAGATCCTAAGTAAAATATTGTAAGCAGCAAAGCTAAGAATATTTAACATGAGATATTTAACAATGGTTCAGTCTGAATAATTAAGTGAAGATACGACTGATTTGATGAACTTGCCTGATACAATACTAAAAAATGAAATCAAGCTGCAACAATTTCAGACTTCAAGCTGCAATGTTGCACCTTTCTTGCTTGCTTGAAAACCAGAAAAAGAAATCATTCCATTTTTATTTTGAATAAAATACAGTTTCTTATAATTATGTTCCACGCCAGTTCAGAACCTGAGAAGTTAGTATGATCTTGGGCTTGCTGTCCTATTTTACTCTGTAAATTTATTCGACAACACTTCATTGATAGATGACATATATATATAGCAATGATATGGAAAATCAAAATTGAGAATTAAGCTACTTACTTTTGCCTTTTTTTCAAAAATAGACTTGGGCAACTTTTGAGGGATGAGGTGTGTTTTTATAATTCTTCTGGAAGGCATTTTTCCCATCCTCTTTAATCATATTAAAATAAAAGGAAGTTAATGTCATTTATGCAAAGAAAATTATACACAAGTATAAATGCATCATCATCATAATTTAAGTCATTGTCTATCCACTGCCGAATTAAGATCTCTTTCTCATGTTTCCAACCTATACAGTCCTGAGGTTTCTTTTACCAATTGGGTCCACAATACTTGCTGATGTCGTCAATCCATCTTGTTTTAGGTCTCTTTCATGGATGCTTTTTATCAAGTGGAAGTATAAATTAGGGATATCAAAGTTCATCTCTAAAAAAAATCTGAGTCCGACTGATCTTTGTCATCATAAACTCTGTGGTGGAATCTCCACTTAGACTGGAAGGAGGTGTTAAGTGGGGACTGAGTTTGGAGTTATTGTGCTACAGGAAGCAGCACAGGTCTGACCTCCCCCAGAATCCTTAAAGCCTTATCTTGCTGTTCCCAAGGGAAAGCATACAGTATAGTGAGTTTTGTGTAACATAGACAACTAGGAATAAAACTCCTGTTGAAACTCTCCAGGAGTCCTTGTAGTTGCTTTTGCCTGACTGTACTTAATTATGTGACTGTTTCATATAAATCATACTGACTGATGTGAGGAAAGTTACTACAGAATCCACAGTGCAGTGTAAATGTAAAATAATTGAGCAGCTAAACACTGATTGCATTCTGTGACATGATCTCCCCAATACATTTGGAGAGTGATCAATTCCTCTGTAAAAGCATTGGGGCAGAGCAGATACGGGTTTTTTGACATATACAGAGGTTAATAATAATAATAATAATAATAATAATAATAATAATAATAATAATAATAATAATAATAATAATAATAATAATAATAATAATAATAATAATAATAATAATAATAATAATAATAAAGTTGGAAGGGACCTTGGAGGTCATTGAGTCCAACCCCCTGCTCAGGCAGGAAACCCTATACCATTTCAGACAAATGGCTGTCCA